GCGGCTCCTTTTGCCCCCGATTCGCCGTGGGCGGTCAAGAGGAGCCACAGGAAGTAGCAGCTTGGCCCATGCCACTTCCCATGGCTCCCCTTGACTGCAAACGGCAAACCGGAGCCAATTGGAGCCATGAGGCTCTGTGGCTGCAGAGCTGGTAAATAAACACACTGGAGCAGCCAGTTAGCAAGTTTCTCAGAGTAGTTTCATGGACCCCTTTGAGAAATACTGCTCTAGTATAAAGCATGACATTACTTGCATCTGCATGGAAAGCCAGGCTGGGTTTGCAAAGGTCAGTTCTAAACAGGCAGTTAGTGTGCCACATTTAGATCTGCACTGTAGTCTTAGTACACACACACACATTCTAATTAGTTGCACTACAATGCAAAAATAAAGGTTATTTGGGATACAAAACAATGCCCAAAGCCCATGACATTTGAAAATTACTTCCAATGACTTTTGCCCTTTCTAGTCTAAATTCTGTAGTCCTTATTCAGGAAAACTTCTACTGATTTAAAATCACTGCGTGTCATGCCTGAATGAAAACTGCAAGGTCGGGTTCTTCATTGTGACTGCAGTGAGGATACATAGCATTATCTGAAACTGTAGCATGCAGCCAAGCAGAGTATGGACTGGGTAATGTACTAGGCAGAAATTCTACAATTAAGCAGGGTGACTCCAGGGATAATTCAGCTTTCCAAATTCTAATCCATTTTCTTTCTCATTTTTAAAAGAAACAGACTTTTTGTGTGATCCTCCACCTTTGTTATCAGTCACTTCTGTAAATATTGTCATGGTGAAACAACCCATATTCATCAGTACATATTTTTCTTGTTTTGTACCTTTTTTCCTTTGTGGTTATTTGCAAAGAAATAGCTTTGGTGACCACTTTTTTGGCCTTTATTGCTTGAGTTGTAAGTTCTGAAAGCTCATCAGCTTGATGAAAATGATGTGCAGAGAAGGTGGCTTTAAGACATCTGTTTGTCCTTCTTCCCTTTTGTAAAGATGGGCCCTACATTTGCCTTTTTCCAATCATCCGGGATCTCTCCCGATCTCCACGAGTTTTCAAATATAATGGCCAAAGACTCTGCAATGACATTTGCCAACTCCCTCAGTACCCTTGGATGCATTAAATCTGGACCCATGGATTTGTTTATGTCTAGCTTTTCTACGTAGCTCTTAACCTGTTCTTTCTCCACCGAGGGCTGCCCACCTCCTTCCCGTCCTGTGTTGCCTAGTGCAGTAGTCTGGGAGCTGACCTTGTCTGTGAAGACAGAGGCAAAGAAAGCATTGAGTACTTCAGCTTTTCCCACATCTTCTGTCACTAGGTTACCGCCCTCATCCGGTAAGGGCCCCACACCCTCTCTGATCACCCTCTTATTGCTAACATGCCTGTAGACACCTTTCTTGTTACCCTTCACATCCCTTGCCAGCTGCAATTCCAATTGCGCTTTCGCCTTCCTGATTACTCTCCTGTATTCTTGAGCAATATATTTATACTCCTCCCTAGTCATCTGTCCAAGTTTCCACTTCTTATAAGCTTTCTTTTTATGTTTAAGCTCACCAAGGATTTCCCCGGTAAGCCAGTCTGGTCACCTACCATATTTGCTTTTCTTACTGCTCATTGGGATAGTTTCTTCGTGCGCCTTTAATAAGGCTTCTTTAAAATAGTGCCAGCTCTCCTGGACTCATTTCCCCTTCATGTTAGCATCCTAGGGAATCCTGCCCATCAGTTTTCTAAGGAAGTTGAACTCTGCTTTTCTGAAGTCCAGGGTGTGTATTTTGCCAATCTCCTTTCTTTCTTTTGTCAGGATCCTGAAATCTCCCATCTCATGATGGCTACTTCCCAGGTCATCACCCACATCTACTTCCCCTGCTAGTTCCTCCCTGTTTGTGAGCACATTTCTGTTTATATTTGGAATCACATTAATAATTGCCTTCATGGAGCAAAGTGTCCCAGAACCTGAGAAATAAGAGGAACAAGATGTTCAAGAGTGATTAGCAATTTTTTGTATACCTTGAAAGGCCTGATTTTCAGAGGTGGTTGTTCAGCCTTAAATTCCTTAAAAATTTCTCAGATGCAACAAAAAGTGATGCACCTAAACTAACTGTTTCTTTAAATTTGATCCAGAGCAGTTAGTGAATTTACTATTTCTGGTAAGCAGTGACTTGATCTTGAAAGTCTCTCACTCACATGAATAGTACTTACTTGAGTAGCCCGATTGAAAACGATGGGTGAATCTGGGCTCTGTGGAATTCAATGGTAGTTTTGCTATTGACTTCAGTGGGACAAAAATTTTATCCAGTAAGATTATTCATGCAAGTGACAGTTTCTGGAACTAGAAAAGGACTCATAACAGAGCCCCAGCATAACAGCTCTTCCACCATGACCAAGACTAGGGGCTTTCAAAAACAAACACTTAGATTGTGGCAAGTGAGTTTTCAAAGGAGGGTAGCTGAAGGTGCATGAGGGAAGTTGAGTGTTAGGCAGCAGAGTGCAAATGACCATTTAGTGCATGGTAGGCTAGTGTGATATTGCAGCAAAGTGGGTTTGAATCTAACTAAATGTTCATTTAGATGTCTGAGATAGCAGTTTTGATAGTTACCTGACTACTATACTGTGGCTAATTTCATTCGGCAGTTTGTTATGGTTATAGATAATTCTGATGTTAAAAGTGATTATACTTCGTGGGCTTTCAAGCAACACTGATTGTACTCTTTTCTTTCCTGGCTGTGCCTTTGTGATAGTTTCAAAGACAGTATGGAGAAATCATCATCTTATTCTGACTGGCTCATAAATAACAGCATTGCTGAGCTAGTAGCTTCCACGGGTCTTCCAGTGAACATCAGTGATGCGTATCAGGATCCTCGCTTTGACGCTGAAGTAAGATTTTTTTTAATTTACACTGTCATATTTTTGCAGTTGAGTAGAATATAAATAAAGCAAATCCAAATGAATATAAGACATATGTACATTTGTTCTGCATTATCTTTTTCTTTCTGTATGTCCTCTATTGGGCTTACCAGCGGCAGCGTGGCTTTAAGCAACAGAAAAATGGTGAAAGGTATTTTTATATTGAGGATACAGCACTGTTCCTACCTTCAATTGTAGGCAATTACTTTATCTGTGCATCATTTTTCCAATCTGTGAACTTGGGATAATGATGCCTTCCTTTATAAAGTCCTTTGAGATCTATGAAAGCTAATCTTTGTTGAAAATTCTACCACTGATTATTCTTTATGTTCCCTATAGACCATAGCTATATGAGATTGTGGAACTGCCAACACTAATGTAAACAGAAAGCTGCAGTAATATGATGTCAAAAGACAAATGTTTTTTGTTATCCTACTTAGCAAACTAATGTTATATCAGTATGTTTTCATCAATAAGATATACATTGTGGGCTATTTTTTTTCCTCTCAGGCTATGTCTAGACTGCCAGCTTTTGCCGACAGAGAGTATGCTAATCAAAAGCTCATTAGCATTTATCATGCTGTGATTAGCATATTCTCTGCCTGAGGCTTTTTGCGCAAAAACAAGCAATAAAGACGGATCCGTTTTGCACAAAAACTCCCTTTTGCACAAGATCTGTATACCTCCTTTTTAGAGGCATAAGGATCTTGCTCAAAAGGGAGTTTTTGCGCAAAACAGATCCATCTACACTGCTTGTTTTGCACAAAAACCTCTTGCACAAAAAGCCTCGTGCAGAGAATATGCTAATGACAGCGCAACAAATGCTAACGAGCACTTAATTAGCATACTCTCTGCCGGAAAAAGCCGGCAGTGTAGACATAGCCTTAGATACTTGCATGCAACTTCCACTGGAAGCCAGTGGGAGTTATTTTCAAATCTTAGGGCACAGTTTTGCCTGCTGAGATTGGGGAATAGGCAGCAAACACCACTTTTGATACATATCTTCAGCACTGGGTTACTTTCCTAGGTTTGACAGGACCAAAGAACCAAATTGTCCCTGGCATGGGTTATTCCTGCTTACTGGAATGAGTTTTGGCTCACAGCGCTTCATATTGCTCAAACCTTCCTTTCTGGACATATGGGAGGTTTTGTCCCACTATGGAACTGATGGGTCTTTGAGTCACAAACTCTCCAGAGAGCCCACAGAGACGAGGGCCATCCCAACCGTATTCCTGTGTGTCTACAACACTATTTCCCAACCCCATTGGCCTCCTAGGCGGAGCAGTGTTTCTACAGGAGCTGTTTGAAGAATCAGTCTTCATGTTCTGGTGCTATCAAACCTCATTCCAAGGTGAGGGAATTAACATAAATAAATGCCTGCTAGGTGATGATTAATCAATGCTGAGACCCCTTATGAAACTGATAGTGGAATAGCAGGTGTCTGCTGGCCTGGTCAAAGGCCAGGACCTGAAAAACCCCCACTTCAGCTCTGTCTCACTCAGACTGGATATTTTTTTATGCTTTCACTTGGCAGAGAAGGAGCAAGGATTAGCTTGTCCTTAACTATGTGCAGATCACCCACAATTCTAATTGAAATAAATGGGAGCTCCAAGTGCTGAGCATCTTTGAAAAGCAGGCCTCAATTTCCACAGCTCACAAATCATAACCCAGTCACCACTCCATGTAGGGAGTGCTTTGGCTCAGAGTTCTATTGTTATTGGTTGAGTTGCATGATAGAAACTCCTTTTCTAGTACGTACTCATGTAAGTTTCTGGATAGGTTAGATATGGAGTATTTCAAGTTATCATTCCAGTCTCAGCTAGAAATTTAAACAATGGGGTTACAGTGAACAATAGACAGAGTGGCAAATTCCATTCTGAATTATATCTCTTGCAACACCATTACTTTAGTGGACTTGCCTAGGAGCTGGGCAATGGGTTCATAGGAAGTCAGTGCACAATTCTAGCCAGTGAGTCTATTAAATTACATTACTACAAGGAGCATGCTTTAAAAGTGCCTTCCATTTTGACAGTATCCACTGGTTCCAGTGGTACTTCCCATAGTATGTACACAGAAGAGCTCTCAAGCTAGCAGAACAGATTATTTAAAACGTGTACCCGGTCTGTTAGTTTATGGGAAAACGATGTTAGCATTAATTTATCCAGAATTTCAGAAAGTACAATTAATGCCTGGGAAGAATTTCCTACCAAAGAGATATGCTGAAGTATAACACACCATATATTTGATGTGTCTGCAGTTATACTTATAACATGCTATGTTCTGATTAATAATGCTGCCATCTCATATTCATTTCATACTTAAAGTCTATGCCAATAAGAGATACTGACCAACATATAGGAGAAGAATGATGTGAATTACCCTATATAAAGGTCAATAATTATTTTCAATTGGTATCGTCATAAAAATGTAACTCACAATGCCAGTTGGTAGAAACGATGATTTCTGGAGTCAAGAATACTCAAAATACAATTATGTTTTTAAAAAATTGAGACAATCATTACTTATTAGTAAAATAAAACGTGCCTTTGTGTTTGTAATCTCATTTTCTATTGTTTTTTCTCTACTACCCTTACAAAAACTCTTTCCTATACACTAATTTTTATTTTTAACGAAATTCTGATGTTATTGTTAAATCACTGTCACTGAACATTTAGTACTGAGGTATTTTATTTGTCATCTACATCAAGATCTGCAATAACTCAGACAATAAATAAAACCTATTTGTTTCCCTTCCCCCCCAAAAAAACCCTGCATTTTATTGAAATAGGCCTCCATCTTATGGAAATTTACAACATGGGAAAAATACGTTACTTATGAGCAATTGCAATTTAAATGCTTGTTTTATATCTTGCAAATGTGAGATTATATATTGACTTACATATTAGGTGACCTAATTAAAAAGGAAGCCCTTTAAGTGTATTTCATTCCATACACTTAAAGGGATGCTGGAACAATTTTTATATTGGGGGTGTTGTGTGCCATTGAATCAAACTGTAAATCCTGTATCTCATGGCTACTGAACTTTGGCAGCCCCAGGGGCCACAATGATACTTTCAGCACATGCCAAGGTCACAATTTAAATGTGGTTGCATATACATGCAAATTTATACGCAAACAGTTTTCCACACTGACAGGCATGAATACAAAAATTACGGCAAGACTACACAACACACAGGCCCCATTTAAGTCAATTCTGCTGATATTAATAAAATGCAATATTTACCCCATTTCCATCCATATGTCAACACTTTTAATGAGCAATGACAGTCCAAGAATTTAACTATTAAAACGCATATCAACAGAAGACCATTATATTGACTGCTTTTTTGTTTTAGCTCCCACCCAATGGTGGCCTGCAGGCCGTGTGTTGAGTAGCCCTGCTATATATCATAGAACAACTTCATGCCTGGGAGGTCTCACAGCACTCCCCCCCTCCACCTGCCACCACCAATAGTTCCAGTCCCTATGCACGATCTCTATTTTCAAAGGGAAAAACCCCCACAATTTTGGAGAATAATCTATCACGTATCTAGGTAAAAAGGTAGAAAATGCTATTGGGATTACATTCAGCATTCCTGTGAGTGTTCATCTCAGTTGAGTTCAGCTGAACTGTGCTAGGCCGGCCCAGTTATATAAGTTTGTACTCAAACATATAGCTTTCTGCATCTTGACAATGTTTCTAGGATAAATGCTCTTCTTCGATTTTCTATTTTTTGTACTTTACAATAAGTGAATGGACGAGCATTTTTAGGTAATTGGTAAATTATGACATAGTCATAAGTGATTGCAGTTTATTGCTAGTTATGATCAACGTTTGAGGGGGTTTGGAAATGCAGTTGGTAGTCTGAGTTATGTTTCACATATTGCTTCTTCTGCTAAAATATAATTACCCATTTCTTCACAGACGAATCAGAAGACTAAAAGGGCTGTATCTTATCATGGATTTTATGTGGGACTCCCCATTGATTTCAATCAGAAGTTCCACTTACATATTGATAGCAAGATATGACTCTAATAGTAAACTTGAATTGCTTCACACTCTTACAGATGGCAGTTCCTGCAAGTCCTCAGTTGGAGGTCATTACAGAATCAGTCTACAGCTGCTCACATTGCAGCCTTTTAAACTGCAGCATCTGAGGAGGCATCTGTCCTCAGTACATTGCTTCCTGACGGAATTGTAACCTTTGATTCTCATCTTTCACCATTTCCCCTGTAGTGGGTTTTACAATAGCACCAGCAACACCTGCTGATCGCTACCTTTGGCCGGGAGTTGCAGCTAGTCAGCTCATCCTGTTTGCCCCCTTCAGTCTCTCCTCAGAGGTTGAAGACTCACTTGCCTCCCTTGAGATGTCTTGCAGCACTGACTCCAAAGGACAGCATAGGAAATGGAGAATCTATGGCATTAAAAGTACATTGCAAAGCTTCATATCACAAGTTTCAGAGAGGTAGCCGTGTTAATCTGTTTCAGCAAAAACAAGGACTCTGCATCTGACAAAATGGGCTCCAGCCCACAAAAGTTTATGCCCTGATGCATTTATTAGACCACAGTCTATTACCACAGAACTAGCAAGGAGGCAAAAGGTCTTTTCTGAATTACAAGTGACATCTACCTAGAAAATCTCAACCCCTGATTTTTTACCATGTCTCTCAGGGTATGTCTACACTACCCCGCTAGTTCAAACTAGCGGGGTAATGTATGCATACCGCACTTGCTAATGAAGCCCGGGATTTGAATTTCCCGGGCTTCATTAGCATAAGCGGGGAGCCTTGATTTGAACTAAGGACTAAACATGATTGGTATAATGCTCTGCCATTGGGATAACAGCCAAATAGAACATATTTGAGAAACTATATTGGTGGTTTAGGAAAGGGAATATAAACCACCTGCCAAAAGGGAAGTGTGGTGCTCTCCTCAAGGATTAATCTGATATTGAGATTGAAAAAACAGCCAATAAAAAGAGGGAGGGTGCATAGCTCAAGAAAGATTTGCAAAGGGAAGGCAAGAAGTGAGCTGGAAATTGGGTGGCAGAAAAAAGCAAGTTTCAGGAGGAACTGAGGGTATGTCTACACTACCCCGCTAGTTCGAACTAGCGGGGTAGTGTAGACATACCCTCAGTTCCTCCTGAAACTTGCTTTTTTCTGCCACCCAATTTCCAGCTCACTTCTTGCCTTCCCTTTGCAAATCTTTCTTGAGCTATGCACCCTCCCTCTTTTTATTGGCTGTTTTTTCAATCTCAATATCAGATTAATCCTTGAGGAGAGCACCACACTTCCCTTTTGGCAGGTGGTTTATATTCCCTTTCCTAAACCACCAATATAGTTTCTCAAATATGTTCTATTTGGCTGTTATCCCAATGGCAGAGCATTATACCAATCATGTTTAGTCCTTAGTTCAAATCAATAACCAGACATTGTAATCTGAGGCAATTGCTGTGTTTTTATATATGTTAAAACAATTTCTAATACAGGCCCTGATTCAGCTGATACTTTTGACCAACAAGCTCTTGCTTTACCAATGCAAGTAATCCTGCCACAGATTAGACATCAGTAGGGCTATGTCTACACTATGCAGAAGATCGAAGCTGCCACAGTCGATCTCCCAGGGTTCAAATTAGCAGATCTAGTGATTAGGCCCTCTAATTCCAACTGAGAAGGCTCCCCTGTTGGCGCCAGTATTCCTGCTCCTCATGAGGAGTAAGGGAACCAACAGGATCATTTGCTCTTGTTGACCTCCCACTGTGTGGATGGCACAAAAACTTGATTTAAGATACATCGACTCTAGCTACATAATTAACATAGCTGGAGTTTTGTATCTTAAATTGACCTTCCCCTTTAATGTAGATCAGGCCTAGGAGTTTTGCCTGAACAATGCCTTCAGGATTGACCTATGGGACATTAAACTGATTTGTAACTATGAACAGGTTGAAGTCTTCCTTGATGTTACTATTTGGGGGACATCAGAGGGCTATAATTAGCTACTCAAATACTGTAACGGCTAAAGTTCTTGTTTTTTTCATCGTAGGCTGACCAGTTTTCAGGCTTTCACATAAGGTCTGTTCTTTGTGTTCCTATATGGAATAGCAGCCACCAAATAATTGGTAAGATATTTCATATAACTCAGTTCAGCATTATTGTGTTAATATGAATTTACTTCTGTCTTTTTAGTTGTATTCCTTTTTCTTCTGTTTCCCAGCAGAATATTGCTAAGCAGTTACAATACCTAGGATATGTGCCAGGTATCCAAGAAGGAATGTTTTGACTTGGATACTATATGGACAATTTTTCAGCTTTCCATTTACTTCGTAGTTATATCAATTGAACACTTTTCATGAATACTTTTGTACTGTATTGCACTGCTGGTGCTAGGCTTAAGCAGACTAAGGAATTGCTTAGTGCTCCCAAGAAGCTCAAGGGGTCCCCCTCTTAGCTGTTTTAATATTTGTTGTAAGAAGGGAGGAAAATATTCCTGCTTAGGGCCCCCAATGTGCTAGCCCCACCTTTGTTATATCAAGTCATCATTCAAGGGCCTTTCTTGTGTGTGCACATTTTGGGCAACTGTGGTTCTGATCCTGAAAGGTGCTCCAAGGTGTCCATAAGTCTTAGACAAACAATTACCTGCACACAAAAAGAGAGGCTCTCTAAAGTTAAATTGTCAGAGCTCAATTGAAGTCAATGCAGCGATAACAGTTTACAGCAGCAATAGGCAACTAATAGTAAGTGGGCCTCATCAGTGGCCCTCCATCTCAGTGGGCTGCATGGCCAGTGGTGGGCAATCTGCAGCCCATGGCCCATTGGGGTTGCACCTGCGGCTTGTGGACCCCCAGTCTGCCTCCCTCCTCCATGTGCATCTGATGCACTGGGGCACTGGAGCCCTGCACTTCGTATTCCTACCATCCCTCCCAGCGCCTTCAGAGTGTCACGAATCACCTGATTCACATTCTGTCCCTGTTCCTCTCCCTCCCTCCTAGAGCTGGAACAATGTGAACAGCTGATTCGTGGCATTCCAACTCTGGGAGGATGGGGGAGGAGCAGGGACAGAGCATAAATCAGCAAATTCGTAGCACAGGGGGAGGAGTAGGAAGTCTAGCTCCAGTGTCTCAATATATGAGAGGTGCTTGGGGTAAAGAGGCAGACAAGGGGTCCTCAGGCAGCAGGTGGAGCCCCAGCAGTCGCATGGAGCCTGTGGGCTGCAGTTTGCCCACCACTGGTTTATAGCAGCTGAGGATCTAGTCCATGGCGCCATATGATATGGCAGGATATCAATGAAAATTGAGAGTGTAAGTACAGTGTAGAGGCAATGAGTGAACATCACATCACAGTATCAGTCCCTGTGTGCTTAACCAACTAATACAAACATAGTAATTGTTCCTTTTAAATAATATTGTTCATGACATCTGTTGCACAGAGTGAGGCAAAAGAGAAACTCACTGATAAATGTTACAGTATTTTGAGAGGGCTATAAGTAAATAGGAGGAATAATTTTTCACATAGGAATTCAATATTGACTCTTCTAGAGCCACCAGCTCTGAATAGATTTTTCCTTACAAATTGCTTTATAGAATTGAGTATTTAATAACTTTGCAAATGTTTGGGCCAGTGTTGGGGGGGAGGAAGAAGAGAATATGTGGGTCATGGTAAAGTAGCTAATAGTTAAGAATGCAGGCACTAATTCAGACAGTTTCATAGGCACGTGCCCTGAAGTTCTTGGGACTACTTATGTGCCAAATATTTGACCGATACTTAAATATCTTTCTGAATCAGGATCTTAATCGCTCACACAAAGCACTGAACAATACTGTGTAGACCAGGGGTGGGCAAAAATTTTTTGGCAGGTGGCCACTTCAAGGTTTTGGAAAGTGGTCAAGGGCCACACTTTTCTGTGGAGGGGGTACAAGGTCTAGAATGGAGGTTGGGCACAGAAGGGTACACAGGGTAAGGGACTGGGGTGCAGGAGAGGATAGGTCTGAGAGGGAGTTTGGGCAAAGGAGGGGGTTGTGACCTAGGTAAAGGGATAGGAGCGTAAGGTCAGGGAGGGGGTATGGGTGCAGGAGAGGGCCACTGGGAGGGGAGGCAAAGTCTGGGAGGGAGCTGTGACCTGGGAGAAGGGGAAAAGGGAGTGCAGACTACAGACGCTGTGGGTGGTGACTTGGGGCAGGGGAATAGAGTGCAGGGTCTGGGAGGGTGTTTGGGTGCAGGAGAGGATTCTGGCCTGGGAGAGAGGTGTAGGGGAGGTACAGGGTGTAGGAGGGAGTTGTGACCCAGGGCAGGGGGGTGCAGAGGGTTTGGATGGTGACCTGGGGAGGGAGTTGGGGTTTAGGAGGGGCTGGGGTGCCAGAGGTAGGCTCTGGCTGGGAGGCACTTACCTAAGCCAGCAGCCCTGCAGCATCCCCAAGTCAGGTTGGTCTCCCTGCCTGCTGCAGCCCCAAATCACTTACAACTGCAGCTGCAAACCCCACGTGGCTCTCAGTTCCAGGACGGGAAGAAATTTGCGCTGCTCCCATCCCCCAGGCCAATCTCTCAGATCTTATTGGCTGGTTGTTCCCAGCCAATAGGAGCTGAGAGGTTGCTGGGGTCAGTTCCTGTTGGCTGGTTGTTTCTGGCCAGTCGGAGCTGAGGATTGGGCGGGGGCAGGGAGATTGCATGAAGCCTCCCCCTCCCTGCAGAGCAGAGACAAACATGGACTGAGCTTTAAACCGCACAGCTGCATGTGCCTGAAGGTCCCAGCAGGGGGAGCCGTGGGCCGGATCCAGTGGCTTGTGGGGCAGTATCCAGCACCCAGGGCATATTTTGCCCAGACCTGGTGTAGACTGTTAATATTATATTTGCATAACAAACAAAAAAAACAGCTAAAAGTTGTAAACCAAACCATAACATCAAAATACGACTTTCAGACATTGCTATTTGCTTACTATTTTTCATAATAAAATATTTAAGATTTTTTCTGTACAGTTGAAAAAAATATTGTAATTAGTAATGAACAGAATTTCTGCATTAAAAGGTTTGTCTTTTAACTTTCTAAAAGGTGTAGCTCAAGTGTTGAACAGGCTGGATGGGAAACCTTTTGATGATGCTGATCAGCGATTATTTGAGGTAAGAGATACTTAACTTTGCAACAGTTCTATACTCTGCCAGCTCAGATTCTATATTTCTCGCTACCTGAGTGCTGTTTAAGCTAACTAGCAAGGAAAAGGCTTTGACTGTCTATATTCCTTATCAGCAAATTCTTCAGTGATACATTTCTATTCTAGTTTATTATACATAGCAGCTGTTTGAGAGATGTCACCACTCCATGCCCTGTTTCATCTTTTTCAACATCAAGCAAGAAAATAAGATCTTATTCAGACCCTGACCGGCAATGAAATATGATAAAACCAGACATACTCTGAGCTACAGAGTTGGACTACTGCTCTGAATTTCTCCAAAAAATTGAGAGATCAGACACAGGATTTGTCATATCTGTAAATATGACAATAAGAAGGATTAAAATTGGTTACCTGCTTATATTTAAACTGAATAATTACCTATCCTTTGAACACCTCTCAGATCTAGTTTCTGTGCTTCCTAGATATAGCAATTGTAACTGCTTACCATAATGAATGCCATGTAGAAGTATTTTGGTGTGTTTGTGGCCAAAGTAAGAGTCAATATAATTTATTTATGTGTATTGCTGTAGCATTCAAATGTCCCAGTCAGGACAGGAGTCCCATAGCACTTTGACCTAAATGAACACATAGGACAATGTAGCTTGATACATACAGTTACTTACACTTACTAGATTAGCTTTATGTATTTTTTGTGGAATAATATATTATGGAAATAGCACCCCAAAATACTTTATCAGTCTTCCAGTCCTTGTATAATACTGGGAAGTATGACAAAGGCATATATACTTTTGGACACCATCACAGTTATTGCATGTTTGTCAGTCACTGGTTCACTTACGGTCAAGTCTTGGTATCATTGGCGAGATTTCAGTTAAGAGTGAGATTTGGCCCATAGTCCTGCAGTACCTTAGGGCTCATCTAGACTATGATAAAGTGTCGAAAGAGGATATGCAAATTCCGCGGGAATTCCTCTTTCGACACTTTAGCGTAGTCTAGACGAGCCCTTTCAGACTAACAAAAAATGTAGCTGGTATCATGAACTTTTTTGGGCACAACCCACTTCTTCAGATACACGGAGTTTACTTCATTAAAGTAAATTCCATTCATCTAAAGAAGTGGCTTGTGCCCACAAAATCTCATATCATCATCTACATTTTTTTAGTCTTTAAAGTGATGCAGGATTATTTGTTGTTTTTAAAGTTTTTTCAATTACTGACTTACATGGCTACCCTTCTGAAACATTTGGCCCATATTATGTCAAGAGATTTCTCATTTTAGCTTGAGAAATAGGTCAGATGTTTGGTGCTCCTCATGAGAAGCAAGCTATTTTAAAAATACAGTTACCTACACAAGTTTTTCTCATAATTATTTATCTTACAGAGCAGCTTTACTGACCTATATTCTCGAGCTAGAATGCCCATAATCTGTATACAATTATTTCTATAATATATCTGGTTTTCAATTTACACTTCTTTTTCCAAACATCTAAAACAGAATTCATCTTTTTATTGGTATTTTAAATGAATTCTTTCTCGTTAGGCTTTTGTTATTTTTTGTGGCCTGGGCATCAACAACACTATAATGTATGATCAAGTGAAGAAATCTTGGGCAAAGCAATCTGTGGCTCTTGATGTAAGTATATGATCAAAATATTCTCAAACACTCTCTGTAAACCATTATTTGTCATAAGCATGTCATTCTGCTGCAGAATTTATCTCAGTGAACTTTATAGTTAGTCTCATTTTCTAAATATACAGTTCTGACTGCTTAGAATTCGTATTTCATTAAGATAACATTGAACAGGAGATTATGTGGGGTACATTATAATGAACTGTTTAAATGAACTATAATGAACTGTAGAAATTAGTGTCGCTTAGGAGACTCCCCCCAGGTGCAATACACATCTACTAGCTAAGTATCAAGCTGATAATGGCATACAGTTGTGTTGTGATTCAGCAAAAAAGAATGTGATCCAAGCCCTGATGTGCTTACAATCTAAATCAGACAAACCAAGGAAATGCTGTAGAAGGAAGGGGTAAAGAAGGGAGAAACAACATTTTAAAAAACAATAAAAGTAATGAGAGTCATGGTATGTTGTGAATGAAGCTAGGAAAGAAAGGGTAGGAATAAATGGTATGTTTTCAGAGTGGAGAGAGGAAACTAGTGGGGTCCCGCAAGGGTCTGTCCAATCCTATTCAACTGGGACCAATCCTATTCAACTTATTTATAAATGATCTAGATAAAGGGATAAACAGAGAGGTGGCAATATTTGCAGATGATACCAAATTGCTCAAAATAGTTAAGATCAAAGCTTCAAAAAGAGCTTCAAAAAGATCTCACCAAACTTAGTGATTTGGCAACAAAATGGCAAATGAAATTTAATGTTAATACGTGGAAAGTAATGCACATTGGAAAAAATAATCTCAACTATACATACAATATGATGGAGACTAATTTAGCTACAATTACTCAAGAGAGAGATCTTGGAGTCATTGTGGATAGTTCTCTGAAAACATCCACTGAAAGTGCAGTGGCAGTCAAAAAAGCAAATAGAATGTTAGGAATCATTAAAAAAGGAATCAAGAATAAGACAGAGAACATCTTATTGCCTCTATATAAAACCATGTTGCACCCACATCTTGAATACTGTGTACAGATGTGGTTGCATCATCTCATAAAAGAAATATTGGCATTGGAAAAGTTTCAGAAAAGGGCAACAAAAATGATTAGGGGTTTGGAACAGGTCCCAAATGAAGAGAAATTAAAGACTTTGACTTTTCAACTTAGAAAAGAGGAGACTAAGGGGGGATATGATAGAGGTATATAAAATCATGACTAGTATTGAAAAAGTGAATAAGGAGAAGTTATTTACTTATTCCCACAATATAAGAACTAGAGGTCACCAAATGAAATTAATAGGTAGCAAGTTTAAAACAAACAAAAGGAAGTTTTTCTTCACTCAGTGCACAATCTGTGGCACTCCATGCCAGAGGATGTGGTGAAAACTAGGACTTTAATAAGGTTCAAAAAAGAGCTATATAAATTCATGGAGGTTATGTCCATCAATGGCTATTAGCCAGGATGGGTAGGAATGGTGTTGCTAGCCTCTGTTTACCTGGAAATGGGTGACGGGGTGGGATCACATGAGGACTACCTGGTGTGATCCCTCCCTCTGGGTCATCTGGTATTGGCCACTGTTGGCAGACAGGATAATGGGCTAGATAGACCTTTGGTCTGACCCAGTATGGCCCTTCTTATGTTAAGCCTATATATTCCCATCCATTGAGGAATATATAGAACCAAGGTAGCTGGTCACCTATAGTACGAAAGGTGAAAAAAGTGAGTTTTTGGCAGGGATTTGAAACAAGAGAGTGAAGCTCTCTGGGCCACTGGAAAAGGGAGAGGTTATTGCAGGTAGGGGGACAAGGGAGAGGGAAATGTCAGGATTTCTTTGTTTTACTTCCAGTTCAGAGTTGGATCAGAAGAGTGCAGTTATTGAAAATGTGTAGAACTGGATATGTCAGCCAGTTGGGTGTGGAGGCAGAGCATCTGGGAAAAATTGTGAAGGGCTGAGGTGTCATATGTATCATTAGTACTTTTATCATCAAGAGGCAAAAATCTGTAGAAATCTTTCTTTCATCGTTATATCCATTATTGGAATAAAGTGAAGGAGTGTCAGAGGTGAGGTCTGGCAGATCAAGAAAACCACATTTTCTCTACTAAAAGGGCAAGGCTAACATAATGAAAGCTCTCTGTAGTTCTACTACTTGGGTTCCAACACTGTATATTACAGTGTCTCATAACATAAATGCTCTTAACCAGCGAGGGGACCAGAATATTACCACAGAGCTTTGCAGTTTGAAGACCAATTATCCTAAAATTGGGGAAAAGGTGTTTCTTTCTTTTCTTCTCCTTTACTTCTCATAAAAATAATAGAGAGGTAGCTGTGTTAGTCTGAGCTTGGTAAAACAAAAGGAAAAAAATGTGTGGCACTTTAAAGACTAACAAGATAGTTTACAAGAGATAAGAAAGAAGGAAATAACTTATTGTAAGTCAATCAGTGGCTAATCTGGAGTTATTACGATTATCAATAGGTGGGGAGGCTGTCTTTTTAATGTGTATAGTAATTAGCATCTTTATTAAGGCCCATTTGAAAAGTGTCGAATTTAAGCATGAATAAAAGTTCTGAAATCTCTCTCTGTAATCTGGGGTTAAAGTTCCTGATGTAAAATGCACGTTGTCAGGTCTTTAAGGGAATGGGCAGTTAGATTAAAATGTTGACTAACAGGTTTTTCCGTGTGAAGCTGTCCGATGGCTGATTTGTGGCCATTAATTCTTTGGCGAAGTGACTGAGCAGTCTGTCCAATATACATCGCAGAGGGACATTGGTGGCACATGATGGCATACTATTCTTCCTTCTCTCTTCCTTGCCCCTCACCCCCACCTTCTGGTCTAATATCTGATTTATTTGTTTACTTTCTTCATTGTATTCCTTTGTTATATATGGTCATGCCAATTCAGTTTCAGAATATGATCTGAAGAAGTGGGTCTCCCCATGAAAGCTCATCACCTAATAAACTATCTTGTTAGTCTTTAAAGTGCTACATATTTTTTCCTTTTGTTTTCTTATAAAAAGGCACCCTTATGGAAAAGTCCTTAAAGTTGCATCTAAACCAGTGTTTCTTAAACTGTGTCCCGTGGTACACCGGTGTGCCGCGAGGCTGTTGGAAGTGAGCTGCAGAGAAAAACAGAATTCTAAATAGTGCCCTTAAAGAAGCAGGCGACTTTTTTCTTCAACAAAAAATCCTTGGCATTCCTCATTAAAAAAAAAAATTATTATTTGGTGTTCCGCAGTCTTAAAAAGTTTTCCACGGTCTTAAAAAGTTTAAGAAGCACTTATCTAAACCATAGGCTCAGAGTGTCATTCCCTCTTTGTGCAAACATATTCATGCTAAGTTGATGAGAACTCACATAAGGTTGCATGGCAGGGGGCAGTGGTATATGGCTGCAAAATTTAGCCATGCCAAGTACCTACACTGTTTTTATGTAGATTTGTACTTGGCCCAGCTAATCCATGTTACTACAGTGGCTATACTGCTATTTACACTGGTACTAGCTTGATGAGAGCTAGTGTGTACATGTGTTATGCAAGCTGGGAATCACACTCCTAGCTCATAGAATAGTGATAGAAATGTAGCCGTGTTAGTCTGGGGTAGTTGAAGCAAAATGCAGGACAATGTAGCACTTTAAAGACTAACAAGATGGTTTATTAGATGATGAGCTTTCGTGGGCCAGACCCACTTCCTCAGATCAAATAGTGGAAGAAAGTAGTCACAACCATATATACCAAAGGATACAATTAACTCATAGTGTAGACATAGCCCAATGATGAGGTATAAAATCACCAAGGTTCTGTAGAAATTAATCTAGTCTGTAGCATTTCAAAAAGTAGTATGTCCCTGTCAAAGGGCCAACTCACCACCGTGGCATCTCTAGCTGCTTGCTCTGGGAATTAGCTTGTTGACTCACTGGACACCTCCCTCTAGCTGGTGTCTCCCCATGTTCTCGCCGTCCTCTCTAGTCCAGACACGTGTCACTCATGGACCTCAGCGTCCTCTTCAGGACACTGCCCTCTGACAGTGCTCACTCTGGTCTCTGAGCCCCCCTTCCAGGGGTTGGCGTTCATCCTGCTTCCACTCCAGGGTCCTCCCCTCCCGAAGGAACCCTGTTCTCCTCCCAGGGAACACTCAGTTCCCCTGTACCCTCCTTGCCTCAGTGACCCACTGTCAGTCTTCATCTAGCCCCTGCCTCAGGGGAAAACTGCAGTCTGTAATGGCCACTCATCACTGGCAAAGGGATGTGGACCTGCTGCCCCTGCCTACCATGGCTGCCCCTTGCAGCCCCAGCAGCTTCAGGCCCTGCAGCCTGGGAGCTTGCTTGGCCAGAGCTTCCCCAGCTCTGCCTTCCTTCCCCAGCACTGCTCTACCTCCAGGAAGCCTCCTGCTTCCTTGGTAGTCAAGTTCCTCCTGCTCTCTGACCAGAGCAGCAGTAAGTTCTCCTCTCCCTCCAGGAGTCCTCCTTTATATAGCCCCCAGCTGGGCCATCATTAGTAAGAGCTGCCTCAACTGGGGCTTCACTCTTAGCCCTCACTCAGGGCTGGGGTTTTGACCTTAAAGGGCCAGTGCAGAGCAAATGTCCTGTCACAGCCCCCTTTATAGTCTTTTTAGAACATTCTAATGGAACACAATTCTTTATTACATTGTATATGATGGTTAAACCTCACTCCCACAAAAAAACTGTTGAAGACCACCATTCCCTATTAAATTCTGTAGATTTTAAGAGTAATTATGTAAAAAGTCTACCATGAACTGCTCACAATGACTTCTTTTCAAAAGAAACAAAGTTTAAAGCTGGACATATAGTTTTCCTTTGCTACTGCTAAAGCTGACTGAGTGCCAGGAAACTCAGTATCACATCCCAGAGGCTAGATGGGTTCAAAAAAGAGAGTAGACATTTTTATGAACTCCCACAATTGTATTAAAAATGTAAAACCATTATTTAAAATAACAGATATAAGCCTGAGTGCTTCAGAACATAAACCAACCAACCACAGGTACTGTGAGGTTACAAATAAACTTCTTCTATGGGAATGCATAGACACTGCATATTGTTCTGTGCACATACTCCACAGAAGCCCATTTTATGTAGCTTGGAACTTAGGTGGTTCCAGTGCTCAGAGAGCCTTCTGAAGCTTCTGGATTGCTGGGTGAATATTTCCCTTAGATTAGGGTACATTTTATTGCAGGTAAGTACATACATATTTATATATGTCACAAAGCCGTGGCCCATCTCTTACATACCTGCATGCTATTTCTGGAAGTACTCATTCCTAGAGCATCATATTTAAGTGAATGACAGCTCATGGCTAGAAATGATAATTAGGTAGTAGTCAGATCCATTTAGAACAATGGTTCTCAAAGTTTTTGGCCCACGGCCCACCCCGCTCAATGCAAACCTTTCTGCGGATCACCGCCATCCACCCATGATGACAAAATGGGTACAGGAGGGGTTGGGGATAGGAGGTCTGGCCACGAAGGAGGTTGCAGGAGTGGGCTGGGGGTGGGAGACTAGATGGGAGAGAGGTGCAGGAGTGGGTTGGGGGGGGGTTGGCCAGGAGGGAGGGTGCAGGAGAAGGCTAGGAGTGGAGGATCTTGTGAGAGTCTCAGTGGGAGGAGGATGAGGGACCTCATACACTTCCTTCTGCTCCCAGAAATCACCTCCCATGCTCCCATTGACTGGGATTCTGGCCAATGGGACCAGCAGGGAAAGCCTCCAGGTGAGCAATTTCCTGCGCTGCTGTTTCACCAACCAGGGGGTGAAAAAAAAGCTGCTTCTCCCCCCCCTCCCCCGTAAATTTGATCTGGGCTGTTAAACTCGAGGCTCCTCCCCCCCATGCAGTGGGAAGCCAGCACTAGCACTTCACCCTCGTAGGAAGGGTGTGGAGCTGGAGTGCTAGCACAGGCTCTCTGCTGCAGAGGTGTGTGTGTGTGTGCCCCAAGCCTGTGACCCACCTGCAGCATGGTCCATGGACCACTCTTTAGGAACCGCTGATTTAGATAGAACATATAAACTCAATAGTTTCATGAGAATCAGTACTTTGAAATCAAAGTACAAATAAGCATGGACTTTTTCACTTTTAATTGCAGGATTTCAGGAGAACTATTATTATGCCTTTAATATTACACTAATTATGGCTTCCTTTAAAATTATCTGGAATGTAAATGCCGGATGTATACCTGAGAACCTGCAATTAATTATATATACCTTTACTTATAGCTATCTGATGCTGCATAAATATTAATAAAACTTTTTTTTAAAGCACTTTATTAGACAGCATCAAGGAACCCTCTAATTTCTGCTTATCCACTGTGAAATTCTTTTTGTTCTGCATCAGGTTCTGTCCTACCATGCAACATGCTCAAAGGCAGAAGTCGACAAATTTAAGGTAAGGGTTTATCTTTCAGTTAGCATGCAAAACAAGTGTTAGTTAAAATGTCAGATAGAAAAGTGTTAGTTAAGTGTCAGATAGAAAAAAACTCAAAAAAGTCAGTTTTACTTTTTTATTCAGAATAGAGCCAAAGGATATTTGTGCTGATGGACAGTATGATCTGTTAACGGATGAGGGATGAGTGAAGCTCCAAAAGGCTTGTGGCTAAAATAAGCAGTCAAAACTTCAGAATTTGCACTATCCAACAGTACTTCTATACCTTTTGAGATTCTGGTATTACTAGAGAGGTGACAGAAATAGGTATTTTCTGTGCCAACTTTTAGTTTTCTTAAGCACAGCCAACAAAGTTAAATAATGGTATATTAAGAGTGTAGAGGTAGTTAATAACTATTTGTGCATGCTGAATCCTACAAGATTATCAGGAATTCATTTTTAAAGAAGGGACTGCTCTTTAGTTTCTGTGAGCACTGCATGTGTGCAAATAGCTCCCTTTGAGTGACTGTCATTATTTGTCTTCTGGAGTGCTTTTCAAGTTATGTATGATGCTTCTGGGAGAATACCTATTGTCTCCTCTCCTATACAAACTGTATATGCAACTGATGGGAAGATTAGTGAAGAGATGTGGATCCAAACATTCATTTATTTCTGACAGTCAGCTCTGTCTCCATTGTTCCTCACTTGGCTACAGAAGTATAATGAGAAGGGCCCTACCAAATTAACTGTTGTGAAAAACATGTCATGGACCATGAAATCTGGTCCTTTGTGTGCTTTTACCTTATACCATACAGATTTCATTGGAAGACCAACCCCCTGGACCTCAGTCTAGTGCCCCAGGTCATTACTGCCTCCTTCACCCAAACTCCCTTCCTTATCCCAAGTTCCCTTCTGCAACCTCCAACCCAGACCCTGTACCTTCTTCATTAATATCAGTAGTATGGAAGTAAGAGTAGCCGTACTGCACCCTACCAGGAATAACTTTGTGACCCCTGCTTCTGCAATTTCTTTTGGGATCATGATCTCTAGAATTGCAGCACTATGAAATTTTGGATTTAGATAGCTGAAATTATGAAATTTAAGATCTTTAAAATCCCATGACCGCAAAATGGACCTAAATGGACTGTGAATTTGGTAGCAATGAATCAGTGTCTAGGAATTTGGGGCATGGCTAACTGGCTGCAACTTAAGCTGGGCAATTTACGCAGCATGAGCGTGTCTACCAGCCAGGCAGTACACAACTATGTACTGATACTCCTAATAATAATAAAACTTACCTAATTAGAAAATACCGGACATTTTATATGTCCGGTATTTTCTCAATTTGTTTCCTGGACAGAACACTCAAATACTGGACTGTCCGGTTCAAAACCGGACACCTGGCATCCCTGCCTGGTGAAAAGAGTGCAACATTTTCCTTCACAGGTGTACCATGCCACAGTTATCCACACCTTTATCACCTCAAAGCTATAGTACTGTAAAGTGCTCTACATGGGAATATACCTCAAGTCCACTCACAAACTGAATCTAGTGCAGAATATTTTGATCTGCTTAATCATTGAATTTTATGTCGGGAGCCCCTTATACCATTGCTCTGGGATCTCTTCTGGCTTACATTAAGTCTCTAGATAGAATTCTAGGTGTTGCTAAGAGCCTATAAAGCTGTCAGTGATTTGGAGCACAGGCTGACATTTTCAATTACCATCATCTTCATCAACTGTTCAATATTACATGGCAGGGCATGTTCAGCAATATTTATAGCCAAAACCAGAACTATCAGCGCTGGTCTCAATGCCTTCCTTGGTACAGACATATTATAAGGATAGAAGACCAATGAATTATGAAGCAATGAATTGCTAAGGAATGCTGCAACACAGTTATAATCATATGGTCACCAAAAGCTTCACTGGCAAAATAAAATTGCCTGTGGTGGTCATAGACTGAATTCCCAGACAAGATTGCCTTATGTACCTACCTAGAGATTGATCAGGCTAGCACTTGGGCTGCAAATAGACTGTGTCCCTTTAGGATTTGCTTGGTGTTGACAACAATGACCTGAGAGAACATTTCTCACCCTATGTGATTTTGCTACAGTTGCCATAAATGGAGGTGCTCAAGATGAACCCGTTTCTATAAATGGGAGGGAACAGATGGAGGAATATTCTCCATAAGGATTCTTTGGCTATGGAGCTCACTGCACAACATGATTCTCCAAAGCCAGGTTTAATAGTTGCTGATGGATATTTGTTTGTCAAAGGGAATGAATAATTCTTAAATGTATTTTGTATTTAAATTTATGTAGGGGATGTATGTTCAGACAAGGCTGAGCACTTTATAGATTTTTATAAAAATACATGAATTTCCTTTGTCTCAATCCGGTTTTTCAGTCTTTGACATCTTATTTATCTTTGGTCTTATCTTTTTTGTTCTTTATTTTATCTATCCCTGAAATGTTCTTTCCTATTTATTTTTGGTGGCATAATAAACTTTTACATATTGGCTCTTACAAAGTGATAAAAATGAATAGATATACTTCAGGCTTATTTTTCCAGCGGCTATTGTATATTATCTTATTTTATATTTGTATATTATCTTATCTTATCACAGTAAATCCAAAGGGTTGTATTCTTGGCTGTTATAGAGTTATTGATGAAATTCCAATTAAAATTAACTTTAATTGTTGTATCTGAGAATAATGCACACTGCTACAGTGGATGCTCTTTTTAAAGAGTTACCGTTTATCAGAAAAATCATATTGTAAGGAAATGCCATTTCTGAGTTCCCAAAGTAATAAATTATAGTTTGTTTGTTATTGCTGCTGTGCCCCCTATTGAGAATTCACTATTTTTAAAAAGAAACTTCGTTAATTCAAAGTCTATTTCCATTAGACTGTATAAAAATATTCTGGGAAAAATGGAACAAGCACCATTGGCTGGGAGGCTGAAATTCATATTGAGCAGTACAGGAGGATAAATACAATACTGAACATTCTGAATGAGCAACTTGATGGACCATATAACCCAACAAGGCTTTTCCATACATGATCCTACGACTGCGTCTAAAAAACAGCTCAGTGCTGAGAGGTTATCACATCTCCACATTATAGGTTTCTACATTCTAATTCATCACTCCTGATTTACATGAGTGTAATCCCAGTACAATCAAAATGAGTTACATGAACATAAACCTGGAGTCACGGTGGTGGATCACATGCCATATCTACATTAATTCATTTTCTTTACTTTATTGGGAAACTAGGACTAATTTTATGTCTTTAAAAGCTGGGTGCCAAGCCAGAACGGAAGTTAAAATACTCTGTTGTCTCTTTGATTTAAAATTAGGCAGATATCTCTAATTTCCATATTCCCATTGTTAGTGTTTGACTAAAATGATTTGTAATATTATTGTACAGAAAAGTCTCAGTTAACCAAATTCTGTTTAGCCTAAATTCAGTTATGTCCTGTAGGGTTGTATTATACTGGGTGGCTAGTGCCTTCTTATTGGGATTTAAGTTCACCAAGCCTGAAACAGTTGTATTTTTCCCCAGTGCTATCCATATTTAGAAATCCAGCCTTCAAGAGTAAAAACACAGGAATGAGCCCCAGGACTGGATATTTTTAGGAAGAGTCACTGAATTCTAAGATAGGATTAAACAAATGCTATGTATTAGATCAGTTTTAAAATTCAAATAGCAAACAAACACATCTACAAACATACATCGCCTTAAAATTCAACTAATGTATTTTCCAAAGAGAATATGCAAATACAGTACTTCACTCTTGATGTGTAATATACAAGAAACTATTTTTTAAAAGGTAACCTAATTGTGCAGCTCTGAATGGTATAAGGTAGATCAATATTTAATGGCTATAATGCATTATTTATAGCCTTTTAAGATATTCTCTTCTGTAGGGCAAACAGTACACAGGAGAGCCACGTGACAAAAATAACAGATCACCTACTGTACAAAATCTTTGATTCAGAATGTAACAATGATAATATATCCCTTCTGCCTCAGCTACTTTGGCCTAATTGTGGAAAACTGAAAGTTGTGCTTGAATTTTTGTCTCTTAAAATTACAGATATTTTACAAAATAAAGATTGAAAACATTGAGCCAAAAAAATAGAAACAAATGTTACTACTGCTACCAGACCTGACAATCGAAACAGTTGGATACATGGATTAGACAGCTTGTTTGCATACATTGAATTTGGTGAAGGCATTAACTGTAATGGTAGAAAATGAGCTTAGTACACTCTAGGGATAGGAGTGTGTACCCATTTACGTGGTTAACCAATGGGGCTGGGCTCATCAGTTAAAGTGCACTGGTACACACAGCCCCCCCACCTGCCCATGCTGACAGCTCCTTGTGCATACCAGCCTGACACCCCACCCCTCCCATGCTGCTGCCTCTTTTTCAGCAGTTAAACATTTACCTAAATAAACTCATTTTAGCACACCTAGTACACATTATCTAAGGTTGTAATTTTATAGACATTCTTAGATACTCTGTAATGGACAGTGCAAACAAATAAGTTAAAATTTTTAAAAGTCACCTGATCTATGGCTGTGAAAAAATGTTGGAAAAACTTCATTATAGTGTTTCCTTTAAAAAAATTTTTTTTTTGCAAGTTCTAGTTAATTCAGAATAATATTGAGTTAATGTGGAAAAAACAACCATTGTTTTCTTGCAGGACAGATGGAATATTTAGATTCCAAGATGAGGTCTGATATCTGTCTAGTGTATTTATATGGGGTCTGTCACCGTAGTATCTAAGTGTTATTGTCTAGCTAGGTTTCAAGCTATGTCGCTGATGGATCCACATGAGTGAGAAGGCAGACCATGTCACTTCTTTATGTTTTGTTTTCCCATCTGTAAAAAGAGAATAATATTCTACCTCCTTTTGTAAAGTTCACAGATTCTTAAATTTTACTCCAATATAAAAGATCATACTGAATTATCATAAACTTGTCCAAAATTGAAATGGTTCCAATGTTTTCCACAGTTTATTTATTTAGGGTACGTCTACACTATATGGCTATTTTGGGATACCAGAAGTATCCCAAAATAGCTACCTCATGGCTATACAAGCTGCCCATTATTTGAAATATTTTTCAAAATAACAGGCACGCTATTTCACCATCCTGGTAAACCTCGTTGCACGAGGGGTAAGGGATAGCTTGAAATGGCGTGTTATTTTGAAATTTGGCACTGTGTAGATGTGCCAAATTTCAAAACGATCTATTTCAAAATAGTAATTTTGCATAGCGTAAATTGTGTACCTTATTTTGCGTTTAGGGTGCTGTGTAGACACCCTGATTGTCTAGATAACATGTCATTTGAATGTTAAAGGAAGATTCTCATCCTTTATTTAAAGTTGTTCTTTTAAAGCAGAACATCTCTTATAGAACAGTCCTGTAGAATCTAATAATGATTAAATAATAGGGGTTTAATAAATGATTAATAAATAGCTTTATTAAAATTCTATGGAAATTACCCCACAACATTAGGAAATTTAGTAGATTTTTTAAAAATAAGAGTGCTCTATAGAATTTCATAAAGAAGCAATGTCTCTTTATGATTATATGCTATGTATTACAAATAAGTGTCAAAAACCAATTTTACAGTTCTGATATTAGAATGAGGGAATATCATAAACATCAATATGAAATAATAAATGAGTACTTCTAACAGAGAAAGTTGACAACATCATAGTCAAACTGGAATATAAATTGTATTGGTTTTAAAGCTCCACCTTGTTGTTTCTGTCCATAAATTACAGGAAATTAGTTTTCTATTACTGTAAATAAGAGGAAAATGGAATTAGATAATTCAAGTAAGCAGGACTTTCAGTTATGTTTTTTGAAGAATTCTTCTCAAAAAGTAGTTGCACATTATTTACTGACTGAATTTTATCATAAATCTATAACAAAATGCCTAATCTGGGCTCCAGGCTCTTTTTACAGAAATTAAAAATACATTCCCAAGGGGAAAAAATATACCCAAATCAACACTCTAAAAAAGTCATTGACATTTTTTCCTTTAATATTGGCTATTTTCACTTTAGTGGATAATTGTTCTCATAACAGTAATGCTATTTTGACAATAGTCACATTAAGAAGCCTTAAAAAAGGAGCAGTGTATGAAAAGGGACTGAAGTTTACCCCCAGCCTAAAAAGGCATCATGTGTTAGGGTGTTGCTGTTATAAGTTACAATGTTGCTGTTTCTGTTGGATTTTTTTGTGTGTGCTTTCGTGGTGCTGTCCAGAAGTACTGCCTCAAGGCTTTAAAATGCTGTTTCCATTTTGCTTGTTTTTCTAAGCAAATGGTAGAAACATTGCATCATTCAGAGCAGGAGGTGAAATGATTCATTATCCAATATAGCTATGGTCTTTCCTTCAGTCTGACTGGTCACCCTGATCTACAGATATCTCATCAGCTGAAAAGCTCTGAGGAAAAAATTGCTGTCCAGCATTATTATATTCAGGCAACTACAATGCAAGAAAGATAAGATTGTAGTCTTTAGAAAATGTCATCTGAATGAGAGGAATATCTGCTTTATGATCAAGCATCAACGTGTGTCAAAACATAAAGTAGTATGCTTCAGTCATAAACAATTATATGTGAATTTAAGTGTATACTTCAAAAAGCCATTTAGCTAGCACTAAAGACAGAGTGTCTTTTCATTCATATAAATTCAGAACAAGTCCAGAGTCACTCCTTGTGAAGCCCCTCATTATGGATCTGATTGTGATGCACTTACAATGGTGAGCAATTCTAAATAGAAGTATCCTATTAACATTGAGATGACTCGTATGGAATTGCTTACTAGGAACGTAGGGTTCTCAATGTGGCCTTATTAGGAGCATTGTACAGTACTGACATTTGCTTTAAATATTGACAGAAATCTTCAGAGTAATCTAATACAGCACTGTATAAAATTACATATTTTGTGGAACTCTAATCTGACTTTTTTCTGTAGCATCCATTGGTTGTAAAACATGAAAAACATTGTCTATTTTTTCATCAAATTTAATTTCACTGGAACTTTTTATCAACTCTAATATTGTCTGCACAACAGGCTATTTGAATGTTAAATAAAGATTCTGACCTTAAAAATCATATTAAAAATTAAATCCTTTATATTAGTGATGGGGAAAATTGGTTTTCTGTATTTGGGCGATGAAAGTAGAATAGGCAGTTTTCCTTTGCTTTAAGCTCAGTTCACTTTCAGGTTCCTTTGCTTTAGCAAAATGCTGCAATATTTTGACTGCAAATGCTACTAGGCAATGCTTATTTTTCCTCAGCCTTCTACTGTAATTGTTTTTTTTTAATAATAATGGTAATATTCCTGTATTTTTCATAAAAGCTTATTTTTACAAATGATTTTGCCAAAGTTAGCTTGGTAACATCCCTTTAAATTTTTTAGGTAGAGCCAAATGGTCTGCATTTGAGCTAGAAACCTTTGGCAATTGGACAGCTCCTCAGAGCTCAGAAACTGGAAATACATAAGAAATAAATCCACTGTGAGATTAACGTGTTTGGCCACTGGGTGCCATCCTTGCTCCATATTAAGGCTGGTAGTTGAACAGCATTTCTCTAAAAATGTAAAATTCTAAAGAAGATAGTTTTAGTGTAATTTCAAACTATAATAATGTTTTTGTGTGTGCATGTACTGGAATATGTTAGCAACATAGGCAGTTTATTGCTCTTGCACCAGGAAGTGATGTGAGAAACTAAAGAAATAGCCTCGCTGGTTCAGATCTGTTAGAATCAAAGATCCGTATAAAAATTTTCATCTTACAAAGCTCTATAAACTAATACAGTGAATGGGTTGGGGATGTTATATCCTGCATACCCACGAATCAATTTGTTCCCAGGAATAATTTCAGTTGGCCTTCCCTGGGGCTACTTGCTGTAGTAAAGTTACTCAGGTATGTAAGTGGGCACACAGTAGCCATTAGGCATGTGTCATACAGACAGAATCTATTAATTATTATATAACAGTATATGATTACAGTTTGGCAAGGTTATTTATTATATTGTTTCATTACCTGTCAGTCAATGTGGAATTCTTTTAATCTACAGAGATCATGCTACTGCTTCTTTTCCTCCTAGCAAAAGCCCAGGTATAATGAACATATTTTCTAACAGAAGAAGCATGTTGGTAATTTTGAATTTTCAGTCTTTTAAGTGATTTTAAATATGTGAAAATTTTGATTTCAGCACTTCTGTTGCTTACTGCAACTGAGAGAGATTGTACCGATTGCACCCCTGACGAGAACAGTAAACTGAATATTTTATGAGACAATTTCTGTGAAGGGTTCTGTCATCTTTCACTTTGCAGCAAGCTATATCCAGCACTGTGAACAAGAAAAAAAACTACTGGGGACATGGCACATCAACGTTTTCTAGTATAGTTATGATCTTTACTACACATGTACAGATCTATGTATGGCATTTAGTAGTGTAATTGACCCCACTTTGTATCCCCATGAGTGTCATGGCACTTAGTACAATCCCCACTTTACTACAAACTTGAAGGCAAAAGATGTGGCTCACACAGGCTATATTGCTAAGTGGGTTGTAGATTACCACTTGCACATGTGCTGTGTTTCAAACAAGATCTTTACTATATATTGCAGAAAGGAAAGGCTGTAAACATTCTATGTATAGAAATAATAGATAGTTAATAAATGGACTGTGCTGTGTACAGTTTAATTAAGTCTCCCATGACCAGCTCCCTAGATAGGGTACAGTCTCCCGAAAAAACTCCCTGCCAATTCATACTTCCTCCACTCATATAACTGCTCAGTACCCTACTCGGTTTCCATGCATCAAATTCATTCATACATGATTTAGGGATAGGAGAAGTAGCAGTAGTTTCATTTGTCTCCCCAACTGTAGCCACTAACCAGAATAACATTACTTCATTCCACTATTCCTAGATTCAGCTTTTTTATGGTTCTTGCGCCAAATAATCATAATTATTTATTTGTATTATGAAAGCACCTGACGACATTGTGGTAGGTGCAGCACACACATATGAAGGCAATGGGCTTTCCCCTCAAGAGCTTACAGTTTAAGTCAAATGGCTAATCATGGTTTTCTTCAGAAGAGAAAACATAGGCTATGTCTACACTGCAAAGAAAAGTTGGAAAAAGATACGCAAATTGCAAACCGCAATTTGCGTATCTTTTTCTACTTTCCTTCCGAAAGAGGCTTTTCTGACATTTGGCCCATCCACATGGGGCCAAATACTGGGGGAAAAAAACCTCTTTTGGAACATCCCTTCTTCCTTGTAAAAAGAGGTTTACAGGGATGGCGAAAAAATGCATCTGCTTTTCTGAATTTTTTTTCGGAAAAGCAGACGCGTTCCTTGGAGGTGGCAGAGCTTTTTGAAAAAGCTCTGTAGTTTAGAGGTATCCATAGATGCACCACAGTTTACCTACACTTTTTTGAGCATGAGGCTCAATGACTTTTAGGACATATGCTATATTTGCTTCTCCTGTCCTTCTTGAAACCTGTTTGGCATCTCTCCAGTTTCACTAGAGTCACTTTCACCCTGCTAATAAGAGAAGAAACTACTCTTCCTCTGCTATCACTTGAGCATCCTCCTGATTCCTGACACTCTTTGGCTTTGTCTATGCTGCAGAGAGTATGTAAATGAAGCATTGATTAGCATATTGTCATGCTTCATTTGCATAATCTATTCGCGCTGTTTTTGCACACGGGGTTTTGCACAAAAACAAGCAGTGTGGCTGTTTCCTTTTTGCACAAAAACCCCTTTTTGGGTAAGATCCTTATGCCTCTCCCGGTTTTTGCACAAAAAGGAAATGGCCACTGCTTGTTTTTGCGCAAAAAGAGCTTGAATAGATTATGTAAATGAAGTGTTACAATATGCTAATCAGCATTCATCTGCATACTCTCTGCCAGCAAAAGCTGGCAGTGTAGACAAAGCCTTCTTGTTTCTTCAGGTCCTTTGGAGTAAGGAAAGTCAAGGGAACTGGCTTTGCTCCTGAGAAGCCACCACTCACCTAATTTCCGGTGGCTCAGTTCTATTGCTCTGGAGAATTTTCTGGCATCTGTGGTATCTCAGAAATTGTAACATTCTGGAGGATCACATCAACCTGCTTCCAGCTTTGGGAGTTTCTTTGAATCTAAAAAGAAGTTTTGCATGTTACTCTTATAACAACATATGTGTTTGATTAGCCTTCTTCTGTTTGCTACAGAGTTAACTAATCTTCCAGAAATCTTTGAACATTTTCCATCACAGCTTTTCTCTTGCCTGAATCTGTAGCATGACAGTGATATCCATGGAAACAGACTGATGTCATAAAACAGAATTATGACTATGCAGGATGCAGTAAAAGTAGAAGCTGGTTTGGGTGGATGAGAGAAAGCACTTATTCACACAGATTCTTCAATAACAGCAAAGAGAATACACAAAGGAAAATTGTTGCATTTGAAAAATTTCTTTTTCCAGTGTGCATCAGTGTGGAAGTCATTGTCAGTAGTAAATGTTAACATTGAGGCTTTAGAGTTACCATTCCATTAAAATGAATAAGGGAAGTTTTCACCACTGTCTGGGCTTTTGTTTTACTCTGCAGACTCATCAAGACAGCCTTACACTGATTTTCATCATAAATACAAAATCTTTGCAACTAACAGGGCAAGAAACTGAAAACTTTGTCATAGGGGTCTTTAGAGAGTTTATAAAATGTCACCTTCTCTAAGGAATCCATTACAAATGAGGTTTTCTAGATGTTCTCTTGTAAATGTATGTTATTTATTTGAAAGTGTTAATTTGATTTTGACTTAAAATCAATTTAACACACTTGTGCTATAGTTGTCATAGTAGGTCTGAAATAAGATTTTAGCCACAATGGAATACTAGTGCATTCATATTAGCATAGCTTCTCCCATCTGTCACTATTCTGCTTGCCTGATATGTCACAAACACTTAGAAAGAAAGCTGCACAAACTAAAAGGAAATCATCCTGCTTCATTAATGTGCATGTTTCCAGGACTATACCAGCCAGCCATCTGACTGCACACCAGATTGGATAGTTCAACTTTTTTCCTGGCCAATAAAGAAAAAATGTCTCCCTCCCTCCTTTGAGAATTCTGACCTTTCTTCCTTAGTGGGCTCTCTCCACTTACTCTCCTAAAACTAAAGCTGGCTTCCTTACCATCCTGTATTTACTGCAGGCTGTTCTTACGCAAAAACTTGAGGAGCGTCTACACTGCACGCATGTTCTTATGCAAGTAAATTTACAGTAAAGCATCAGAACAGTGGGCATCTTGCACAAGAGTTATTCCTCTCCCCATGAGGAATAAGCCTTCCTGCGTAAGAGCTCTTGTGCAGGAAGGCAGTGTGGACGGGCAACAGGGGTTTCTTGCGCACGAAACCCCTATAGCTAAAATGGCATTCAGAGTTTTCTTGTGCAAGAGAGCGTCCACACTGCCATGGACGCTCTTGCACAAAAGCACAACTCTTGCGCAAAAGCACATGGCAGTGTGGATGCGCTCTTACGCAAGAACTCTTGCACAAAACAGTTCTTGCACAAGAAGCCTGCAGTATAGATGTAGCCACAGTATGTAGGCTCATTACCCACCCTGCCTCTTCACAGGGGCAGCAAGTTTGGCCCTCTGTTCCGTAAAAGCTAGTTTGAACCTTGTGGGGATGGGCAGCCTCTGTCCAATCCAGAGTTGAAAGGAACTTAAATGTCTTACAGGTACTGTCCTATTGCAACCCAGGTACCTGCCAGCAGTGTTCTCTCTATACCAGTGTTTCTCAACCAGTGGTACGAATACCCTTAGGGGTATTCAAGAGAAGTCTGGGGGGTACTTCAACACATCTGAAATTTGGAGAAAACTGAATTTTTGTTGTAAGTTTTACAGTGCTTTATTATTTTTTTTATTTTTAATACCCAAAAATTTCATCGCTTGCCCGCCTACGATTAAGTTGTTTAAACAAATGTGTTGCAATGATAGAAAAAAATTGTGTGTGTCTAAAAACTGTAGGTACTAGGCGTACTTCTAATTTAATTTTTTTAAAGGGGTACTTTATAAAAAAAGGTTGAGAAACACTGCTCTAAACTGCTAATCAGCCCCGCCCAGACAGAGGCTCAGGGCTCTGTGCACAGAGCTGACTGACTGGGAGGGGCTGATTAATCACCTGTGAAGCTGTGCTGCCCTGCAGATTAGAGGGAACACTGCCTGCCAGCTCTTGAAATAGCTTCCTGCTGGCTTTTGTCACAGCTCAGCCAGTTCTTGCTAGAGCTGAGCACGGAGTGTATTCCCCTACTTTCACCTCTGATCTCACCACTATTCTGCAGTATGATTTGGGAAACATTTCCCTTAGTCTTGCTGCTTGTCACTCTTTAAGGCTATGTCTACACTACTAGGTTATTTCAAACTAAGTTAAGCTTATTCCTCTTCACAAGAAGGAGTTATTATTCTGAAATGACAAGCCCATTATTTCAAAATAACAGGCTTAGTAGTGTGGACACTCGCCTGTTATTTTGAAATAACTCCCTAGTGTATTAGACATGACCTAACAGTCTGGGACTTGGACTGCACTAATGGATTAGTAATAGCTCTTCACCTATACTGGTCACCATTTCAAAAATCAGCTGTTCCTACATGGCAGTATGTGGCATACCAATTTTTTCAAGTTCTACAAAAATAGGCCAGAAGCACATTAGCTCTCCATATGTGCACCTTGGGAGATCATTGTCTGGAAAGTTCTTACCCTGTAGAATACCTAATCTATGGTTACATACTTTACTCTTAACAATAATAGATGGTTTAGATCATTAATCACTTTTATTTTATGCTTCTATTCTTTTAAAACAGCCTATAAAGAGAAAAAAATTCTGTAATACATTTTGTTTCTATGTGCTAGAAAACAATTTTAACACTGAAGCTTGATTTTAACAATATAAATAATGTATTCTATGCTTTTTTTCTATTATAGTCTCTAACAAAACTTTGAAATGTTATATTTTTACTTCAGTACTCTATGACATTTATCTCTGTTCATGAGAGCTGGTTTGGAAAAAATACCTGGGTTTGAAACTATCAACTGACTGATCAGAACTATCTGAAAGAAAGAGTTGCAGCTTCTTAAGTCAATTTCAGCACTCACTTGTCAGAACACCAAGTCAGCATCTGAAGTGTTTTATAACCATTTACCCTTCTTCACCATTATAAGTTTAAAATTTTAAAATCCCCAGATCTTTTTCTCATACACACACAGTTTTATATACTGACATGCAAGGTAAATAGCAGACTTGTATACTCAGCCCACAGTTCACAATAGTCAGTGTTATCCAGATGTTATGTTTAGGTGGAAGATGTGTGGCTTAGCAAGTGGTTTTATTGTTTAGGGAAAAAACTGAATAAATTTTATTAACCCAATGAATTTTGTTAAAGTACACACTAGTACTAATGCTGATCACATGTAATTTGGTTTGACCACCACCCAAACATAGCTTTGTGAAACAACACACTTTTAATAGGTTCAGCACTGGTAACTTGCCAACCTGAGGACAAAGCAATATAATGCTTTTCATCTGCAGATCTCAAAGCACTTTGCAAAGGAAGATACAAATTATTATTTCCATTTTACAAATGGGGAAGCTATGACAAAAAGAGAAGAAGTGATTTCTCTAAGCTCATTCAGCAGATCAGTAGCAGCAGTTGGGCCAGAACCCAGATGTCTTAACTTCCAGGCCAGTACTGTATTTCTTCAAACACACTGTCTCCTTACATAGGTTGTACTGTGAGGCTATGTCTACACTGCAGGTTTCTTGCACAAGAAGCTTATTGTGGAAGAGATCTTCCACAAAAACGTTTTGTGCAAGAGCGCAGCCACGCTGCAAAAGCGCATCGGAAAAGCGATGCACTTTTGCGCAAGAGAGCGCTCAGACTGCATGGACACTCTCTCGCTAGAAAGTTATGATTGCCATTAACAGAATAGCCACCAGAGCACCTGTGCTTCTTCCAATAGGGATTTTTTATACAAAAACCCTGTTTCCCGTCTACACTCACCTTTTTGCACAAGAGCTCTTGCGCAAAAAGGAGTTATTCCTCGTAGAAAGAGGAATACCTGTATCACAAAACCCCTCTGTTCACTATGAATTTTCTTGTGCAAAAATGCGCTCTGCAGGTTTTTGCGCAAAAACAGATGTTTTTGCGCAAAAACCCTGTAGTGTAGATGTAGCCTTAAAGCTGCTTCCTCTGCTGCTGTCACTTATATATCTTCTTGAGAAATGGCACTTCCTTGACCTTTACTTGCCACAGGAGAGGCAAGTCAATTGATCTCAATCTATCGGCCCCTACAAGAACAAATTTCATATATCTACTTATTTATTTTTCAGTGGGCTCAGCCAACGTGTCTGCTGAAGTGAAAATAAGTTGAATAGAAAATATGCATTTCTGATGCGACTGGAAAACACTTATATCTACAACACTAGAACATTTGCTCAATAACACCTTATTCCTGGGAAAATATGTCTGTAATGTTGCTATGGTCAGCTGCATTTCCTGGTAGGAGTCAGTGCTACTCTCACATTGTAAGCTACATGGGAGCAAGGTTAATTGAGGTACCCTGAATACACATAACTTGCCTGCTTGGATCAGTTCTTTTTGAAATACATATCACTAGTCAGAGCTTCACTGTGGCTTTGAGACCCAGAAACAGGTAAGAGGACAAAAGGGTGAAAAAGGGTATTGAGGGACAGTGCTCGAGTGGCTGTTACTAGAAGTACCCTATATGCAAAGGACAGCCAGTTGAATATGCTTCTGAGGGCTTTCCTCAAAAGGGCAGATTATGTACTTCTGCAGAGCCATCCACTTTGTTCCTTGAGGGCCAAGGCCACAAGCTGGGGAGACAGACACCTCTTCATTTAGACTACACAAAAATGTCAAATACATAGAGTGAAATCTCATTCCCTTTTACATTAATTGCAGAGCTGCCACTGACTTCAGTGAGGCCTGGATTTCACTCCTGAAGTGTAAGTCTGCGTAGCATAGACATGATTTTCACATGGAAGGAGAATGTTTGTTGTTGCTTTGTGTTTATAGTGATGGGGATGATTGCAAAGTTTTGTTCCAGAACTGGATCTGAACATCTCAAAAGTCAGTGTTCAGGTCCAATGTTTTTGTTCATGGCCACCTCTAGTATTTCATCTTAGTTTCAACATTTGGTTGAGTGACTTCCTCCTCCAACAGACTGATTGCTCTTATAACTCCCTCATATTTCCTGTCCATAAGCAGAAACATCTTTAGCTTCAAATGCTGCAGTATGCCAATTACCTAAAGCATTGCAGACTCCGGTGCACATCAGCGTGCATACAGCTTTACTATACAGTTTGAATCCAAGGCCAAACGTGTTGATTTTTGCAGTGAAGAGGGGGAATCCAGGCAGGTTGTGTTCATACCGAAGTGGAACTCTCTGGGTGAGGAAGGAGTTGTGGAAATCTGGAAGATAAAGCAGCAGAGTGACAGATTTATGGGTGGTTAAGTGAGGGTGATGTGCTT